CAGCAAAAGCTTTTGACATAACATAAAACCCATTCCTACTGAATACACTAGGAAGCACAAGAATATATGGGGCCCTTTTTAATATTGATAAGAAGTGTTTATCTAAAACCAAGAGCAAGCATTATCTGTAACGGGGATAAGTTAGGAGCTTTCCCAGTAAGATCAGGATGAAGGAAGGATGTCCGTTATCGTGGCTATTTTTCAATAAATAGCAATAAGACAAGAAAAAGGAATTGGAGGAATAAACATAGGCAATGAGGAAACAAAACTGTCACTCTTTGCAGATGTTTTGGTATACTTAGAGAACCCTAGAAAATCAATAAAAATCTAGGTATAACAATTAACTTTAGCAAAGTTGTGGGATATAAAACAAATGCATATAAATCATTAGCATTTTTATATATTCCCTGCAAAACACACCAGGAAGAGATAGAGAAATTCCATTTAAATAACTGCAGACATTATAAAATATTTGGGAGTTTACTTACCAAGACAAACCCAGGGACTAGATGAATACAATTACAAAACATTTTTCACAGAAAAAAGAGAGCTAAACAACTGGAGAAATATTAATTGCTCATGGTGAGACCAAAATAGAGTGGTGGATCAGTGAAATATAGGTATACAATACACAATAGCAAATGACTATGGTAATTTAGTGTTTGATAAACCTAAATATATAAGCTTTGGGGGCAAGAACTCACCATTTGACAAAAATTTCTGGCAAAACTGGAAAGCAGTTTGGAAGAAACTAGACATAGACCAACATCTCAATCTATATTCCAAAATAAAGTCAAAATAGATAAATGTTTAGACATAAAGGATGATATAAATAAATTAGGGGAGCATGGAAAAAAGGTACTGGTCAGATACATGAATAAGGGAAGAGCTTATGACCAATCAAGAGATAGAGAAGATCATTGTAGATAAAATGGATAATTTTGATTACATGATATTTAAAAAGGTTTTGCACAAACAAAACTAATGCCAAAATTAAAAAAGAAAGCAGGAAACTGGGGAATTGAAAAAAAATAACCTTCTCTGATAATAACATCACTTTTCAAATATATAGAGGACTGAGAGAAATTTATAAAAATAAGAGCTATTCTCCAATTTGATAAATGGCCAAAAGGATATGAACCAGCAGTTTTCAGGAGAAGAAATCAAGTCACATAAAAAAACTGCTTTATATCACTATTGATTAGAGAAATTCAAATTAAAATAACTCTGAGGTACCATCTCACACTTGAAAGATTGGCTAACATGACAGAAAAGGAAAATAACATAGGCAGATCTATATGTACAAAAATATTTGTAATAGTTCTTTTTGTGGTAGAAAAGATTTGGAAATTGAGGATATGTATATCAATTGGGGAATGGCTGAACAAGTCATGGTATATGATTTTGATGGAATATTATTGTTCTATAACAGGCCTGCTAAAGAATTTCTTCTACATGCAAAGGATGTTTTCCTCTACATTTTTCTCAGGCTTCCTGAAATCTCTTGACATGCTACAAGCAGCCCAAAGGCCATAAGCATCCTGGTCCACAAGTTGTACGGGTTTGTTCTATAAAAAATGATGAGCAGGATGATTTCAGAAAATCCTGGGAAGACTTATATGAACTGATACAAAGTGAGTAGAACCAGGAAAACATTGTACACAGTAAAAGCAGTGTTGATCAATTGTGAAATATTTAGCTTTTCTGAATATGACAATGATTCAAGACAATTCCAAAGGAAACATGATGAAAAATGCTGTACACCTCTAGAGAGAGAGTGAGAGCAAGTGTGAGGTAGAGTAAGGGAGAGAACTGATGAACTCTGAGTACAGTTTGAAGCTTACTTTTTTTCACTTTATGTTTTTTACTTTTTTTTACTTCATGACTCATTTGTAAATATGTTTTGCGTGATTTCATGTGTGTTTTTTTTGTTCAGTTGTTCAGTCATGTCTGGCTCTTCATGACCCTTTTTGGAGTTTTCTTGGCAAAGATACTGGAGTGGTTTGCCATTTCCTTCTCCAGCTCATTTTACAATTAAGGAAACTGAGGTAAATGGGATTAAGTGACTTGCCCAGGTAAGTGTCAGAGGCCATATTTGAGGATGAGTCTTTCTGACTTCAGGCCCAGCACTCTATCCACTGTGCTACCTGGCTGCCTTTCACATGTATAAGCAACTTGCCCAGGGACACCCATTTAGTAAGTTTCTGAGCCTTAGAGAAATGCAAATTAAAATAACTCTGAGGTACCATCTCACACCTGAAAGACTGATTAACGTGACAGAAAAGGAAAATAATGTAGGATTTGAACTTAGGAAGAGGCACCTTCTTGACTCTAGGCCTGGCACTCTATTCACTATGTCACCTAGCAGCCCTCACATGTATAATTGATATCATATTGCTTGTCTTCTAAGTAAATAGGTGAGGGTAGGGAGGGAGGGAGGGAGGGAGGGAGAGAATTTAGAATTCAAAAAGAGAAAAAAAGAATGTTAAAAATAAATAAACTAGAGATTTAAAAAAAATTCATTTGCAGCCATCATTGTGAAAGTACTTGTTTATTTTCCATTTTTCACAGTTTGAGAAATATGTTTACCTTTTATATCTAAATCCTTTACCCATTTTAAATTTACTTTTATACACATGTAAAATGCTGGTCTAAAGCTCTTATTCTTGTTGGTAGTAGTTTGTCGTTATTGTCTTTTGTTTTTTTGTTAAATGGATTTCCAGTTTTCCCAGAAAGCCTTTTCTTGGAGAATTTATATTCTTGCATTTGTCAAACAATGTGTTACTAAGTTTGATTGTTTATGAATTTTATTTATCTAGTCTGTTCCACTGATTTACTTTATAATTTTTAACCAGTAGCAAACAGTTTTAGTATCAGTTATTGAGAAGTAGTCAAGAGGGAACTTGGCTCTACACTGGTACAGATGATTCAGTAACAGGCCAAATATAGTTTTCTACAGTAACTCTAAAGATTCAAAGATAGCAGCAGACTGTCCAGAGAATGCACCCTCTCAATTTGTGAAATATCCCTATAAATAAGACAGAATTAGACTACTTCTCCTGAGTCCATTTAGGTCTATTTTAAGTGAAGATCATACAGTTCTCCTAGCTTCAAACCAAGCATTTAAGAGAAAGAGTAGTAAAGAGAGAGAGAGAGACAGAGAGACAGAGACAGAGACAGAGACAAAGAGACAGATTCAGAGACAGAGAGACAAAGAGAGACAGAGACAGAGACAGAGACAGAAAGAGTAGAAAGAAGAAAGGAAAAGAAAGAGGAGAGAGAGAACCCAGTTGAATCTGGGTTCTTTTTTCCCCTGACAGAACTGCTATTCATGTGAGAAAGAGATTCCTGAAAGTAGAAGAGGTAGACAAAGAAAGATTCTGAAGTCTTTCCCACCTTTTCTGGTTTAGTCAGGTCTCATATAAATACTTTCCTTCTTGATAGTCTTTGTGACCTGCTCCTTAGCTTACACTGAGTGTTGGAAACAAAATTCAACCTTTATTCTAAGTTTTATAATAGATAAAAGAGTCATTGGGGTTGGGGTTTCTGCCTTATCATACTAATCTCACATGAATAGCATTTTCAGTATTTGAGTGAGATTTTTCTACTTTTTTGTTTTAAACTATTTATTCTACTTCCAATTCTTCCCTCAAGAGCTATAATTTCATTTCTAAATAAATTGTTTCTTATCTTTCGGAAAAAGGCAAAGAGAAAAAGACAAAAAAGAAAAAGAGGCAAAAGGCAAAAAGAGGCAAAAACCCTCAATCTAATGGGGGAGATAACTTGTAAACCTATATATGCAAAGCAAGCATATATACAGAAGAAATAAGAAATCAGTAAAAGAGAGAAAACATTGGAATTAAGGGAAGTTGAAGAAGGCTTCCTATAGAAGATGGGATTTTAGTCGAGACATAAAGGAAGCCAAGGAAGTCAGCTGTCAGAGCTGAGGAAGGAGATTATTCCAGATATTGAGGACAATAAGAGAAAATGTCTAGAGCCAAAAGATGGGGTGCCTTGTTCATAGAAGAACCGTGTAACCAGTGCCATTGGATCAAAAAGTACATGTTGGGGAAGAAAGTGTAAAAAGCCTGAGGTAGGGGAGGGGCTAGGTTATGAAGGGCTTTGAATGCCAGAGCATTTTGTCATTGCTCCTGGAGGCAATAGGAAGCCACTGAAGTCAAGTGATGTGTGTGTGTGTGTGTGTGTGTGTGTGTGTGTGTATGTGATGATCAGACCTACATTTTAGGAAAAATCACTCTAGTGGCTGAATGGAGAATGGTTTGGAGTGGGGAGAGACTAGAGGCAGGCAAATTCACCAGCAGGCTAGTGCAATAATGAAGGGATGAGGTGATGAGGGCCTCCACTAGAGTGGTGGCAGTGTCAGAGGAGAAAGGGGGACACATTGGAGAGATGTAGCAAAGGTGAAATTGGCAGCCCTTTGCAATAGCTTGAATATGATAGATGAGAGATAGCAAGGAATCCAAGATGACTCCTGGGTTGAGAACATAAACCCACATAAAATATGTGGGTTCTTCTGGATTCAGCTATAGAGAAGGGGAGATATTGAAGTATAATGAGCATGTCACCTATAAGAAATATCATTGAGTCAGCCATATGTTGAGCCATGTCTCTTTCAAAGATTAAAACCGACATGAAGATCACTAGACTGGTCTATCAAAACAAAGGCTTCCACTGTGGGTCTTGGGTCCACAACCATACATTTCTGATTTATTCCACAAGAGAAAGAGTCCTACTGGAACCAGTAGGTTTGGCCTAGAATGAGTTTTTTAAAACCTTGGATTATGTCACAAATATTCAAAGTCTATTGTCAGAAAGTGATTGATAGTTAGGGTGGTCCCAATAGACAGCTTGGTTAGTCAGGAGAATTAGGAAAACTACTTTGGTGTGTTCAAAATGTAATTACTATGTCTGAAACAAACTATACTTAATTGTTATCTGGCCCAGATCCTTCAGTGCTTGAGGCTTATGATTCTTATAGCCTTGTCGGTTCCTCCTCAGGTCATATAAATCTTTCACCTTTTACTAAAAATTTCTGTAGAGTGGAACAGTTATGAATATATAACTATTTTTTGAGGACACAGAGAGGCAGCAGAGTTTAGTAGATAGAGTATTGGACTTGAAGTCAGAAAGAACTGGATGTAAAAGGCACTTCAGCCATTAGCTGTGAGACCCTGGGCAAATCATTTAATCTCTGTGGGACCCATTTCTTTATCTATAAAATAAGGAGAGTTGGACTACAGTATGTTTCATGTCCCTTCTAGTTCTACATCTACGATCCTGTGATGCTATAGATATGCCTATCCCAGATGCCAGTTTCCTGATATCTGGAGATGAGAAATTTTACAACCTTGTTTCCACAAAGGGTTCTGTGTCAATGTGTGAAGCATTTCCAGTTTAAAGAACCTGGTGGTTTTGAGACAATAGATTGTTTCTAGGATGTTCCACTCTAGGTAAGAAGCTAAAATGTCATAAGAAAAAATCTACAGTAAACAACCTAATATATAGCTTATGGTCTGAGCGTTAGTGTTGGCAAGTGGTATCTGGAGCAGAAGTAGGATGAAATCCAGGAATCATTTAGTCCAACAGGGCTATTGAGAGTCTACTTATTTCATTTAGTGCTGAGGTAAGCAACAAGGTGTCCTGTTACACACAATCCCTTGGTGCCCTAACTCTTCTTTGTACAAGCACTGGACATATTTATGCCATTTTCTGATGATTGTACCCTTGAGATTTCACTCTTATCTATTCAGATGGAGAGCTCCCAAAGTCTCAGCCTTGGTTTCATCTAGCAAATCAAACTATAAGCACCAAGAGATAATTATTATGACTCCCTCTCACTTAGCCTCTTACTATGCTAGGCCACTATGAGTTGCAGAGATAGTGACATTATACTTTGTTAGAGGATATTTCATCAAGCAGGTCTTGATAAAAATGAAATGACAAAGTCAGTCCTCACCCAAATCCATACCCACCATTACCTCTACTCCCTCCCCCTTCTTCACATCTTTGCCTTAGACCAGACCAAGCAATGACCTTCCACTTCTTTAGTAATCTGGCTTTATGAAAGTTCCCTTTGTAAAGATACAGATGCAGACAAATTCTGAATCAATACTCATTTCAAAGTATTTGTTCAAGGGATTGATCCAGCAGAGTGACCAAAACTGGTATCACGTGGTGAGCTAAAATAGGAGAAAGGGTAGACAGAACAAATGCTATAAGAAAGAGATGCTGATTTAGGACTTTGAGTAATGTTGCATAGTCATGGAATACTGGGAAGCAGCATCCAAAAGCCAACTAAGCTATTGTGCCATATACAGAAATGTGTGGCTCATTGTGATGGAAAGAGCTAGGCAATCCTTTGAGAGCAGAGGAAAAGCCACAAAGCCGAGAATAATTTTGCATCAGCAGCTATGGCTATAAACAATAGGTCAAATTTCTTTGATGGCATACTTTGCCCTCTAGACACTTTCAAGGTCCTTTAAGAGTTTACCAGATTCCTCCCTTCAGGGAATGTGGCAAAAAGAGGGAAACAGTTCATAAAAATAAGCTACCGTGAGGTCAATACTGAGAGGAATGGGAAGCAGGGCATGAAACTGGAAATCAGAACCAGGGTGTGGGCAAAGGTCTGGCATAATGTAACATGAACAAATATCTAGTGGCCTTGGGTTATCTATTTGTACATAGTTTATAGAGGAATTTTCTATTTCTTGTGGATGACAGGGCATGAAACCATTATGGACTGGATAAGGATACACTGATGAACCAGGAGACAGGGTCCATCAAAAGTATTAAAAATATGCCCACCTAATTGCCAAGACTTCAAAAATTCTTTAACCCAGAGATCATCTCACCACTGACAGAGGTGACAGTTTGGAATTTTGAAAATAATGTATTTCCCATTTGTATAGGACTTTAAATATGTCGCCTTGAGAGGCAGCTTGTTGTAATACTGTACTTGGAGCCTAGAAGAAGGTAATATATAGAAATGCTGATCATTTATGGGCATTTATTTTATATCCTGCAACATTGTTATAGTTGCTAATTGTTTCAACTAGTTTTTCATTGATTCTCTAAGGGTCTCTAAGTATACCATTATATCATTGTAAAGAATGATAGTTTTGTTTCCTCATTGTCTTTTTTCCTCTCCAATTCCTTTTTCTTGTCTTATTGCTATTTATAATAGCAATACTATATTGAAAAATAGTAGTGATAATGGACATCCTTATTTCATCTCTGATCTTAACTTATCCCCATTACAGATAATGCTTGCTCTTGGTTTTAGATAGATTGTAGATATTTGTAATTATCATTTTGGGCAGTTAGGTGGTGCAGTATATAGAATGCCAGGACTGGAGTCAGGAAGACTCATCTTCCTGAGTTCAAATTTGGCCTCAGACACTTACTAACTGTGTGACTCTGGGCAAATTACTTAATCCTGTTTACCTCAGTTTCCTTATAAAATAATGAGCCGGAGAAGGAAATGGCAAACCATTCCAGTATCTTTGCCAAGAGAACCCCAAATAGGGTCACTAAGAGTCAGACACAACTGAAAAATGACTCAAGAACAACTCATCATCTTAAGAAAGGCTTTATTGATTCTTATGCTTTCTAGTGTTTTTACTAGAAATGGGCATTGTATTTTGTCAAAGCTTTTTTTGTATCTTTTGATATAATCATATAAATTTGTTGTTGTTATTGATATGGTCAATTATGCTTATTGTTTTCCTAATATTGAACCAGCCTTGCATTCCTGGTATAAATCCAATCTGGTCATAGTGTATGATCTTTGTGATATATTGTTGAAATCTCCATGCTAGTATTTTATTTATTTTTTGCATCAATATTTTCATTAAGGAAATTGGACTATTGTTTTCTTTCTCTGTTTTTTGCTCTCCCTGGTTTAAGTATCAAAAGTATATTTGTGTCATCAAAGGAATTTGGTAGGAGTCCTTCTTTAACTATTTTTTCTCCAAATTGCTTTGTTAGTATTGGTGTTGATTGTCTCTTAAATATTTATTAGAATTCATTTGTAAATTCATATAGTCCTGCAGATTTTTTCTGAAGAAACTCATTGATGAGTTGTTCAATTTTTTTTCTAAAATAGGCTTATTTAAGCATTCTATTTCATCTTCTGTTAATATGGAGATTTTATGTTTTGTGAGAATTCATCCATTTCACTTAGATTGACAATTTTACTGTCATAAAATTGAGCAAAATAATTCCCAATAATTGCTTTAATTTCATCTTCATTGGTGGTGTATTCACCCATTTAATTTTTAATATTAATAATTTGATTTTCTTCTTTCTTTTTTAAAAATTAACCAGTGATTTGTCTATTTTATTTGTTTATTTTTATAAAATAGTCTTCTAGTTTTGTTTATTAGTGCAATGTTTTTTTACATTTAATTTTATTAATCTCTCCTTTGATTTTCAATATTTCAATTTTATTAGTTTTTAATTTTATTTTTAATTTAATTTAATTTATTTTTATTTTATTTTTATTTAATTTTATTAATCTCTCCTTTGATTTTCAATATTTCTATTTTGGTATTTAATTGGGGATTGTTAATTTGTTATTTTTCTTTTATTTTTAGTTGCATATCCAATTCATTGATCTGCTCTTTCTTTTATTGATGCATGCATTTAGAGAAATAAATTTTCCCTTAAGTACTGCTTTGGCTGCATCCCACAAATTTTGGAATGTTGTCTCATTGTTATTCACTTGAATGAAATTATTGATTGTTTCTATGATTTGTTCTTTGACCTACTCATTATTTAGGATTAGCTTATTTAGTTTTAAAGTAGCTTTTAATCTATGCATCTATGGCCCTTTATTGATTGTAATTTTTATTGCATTATGGTCTGAAACAGGCACATTTAATATTTCTGCTTCTCTGCATTTGGTTATGAGGTTTTTAATGCCCTAATACTTGGTTAGTTTTTGTGGATATGCCATGTACCATTGAGAAAAAAGGGGTATATATATATATATATCTGTGTGTGTGTATGTATCTATCTATATCTATCTATCTATACTGTAAAATATTTTGTATTCCCATTTAGTTTTCTCCAGAGGCCTAATAGATCTAACTTTTAAGATTCTATTCATCACCTTCACTTCTTTCTTATTCATTTTTAGGTTTATCTAGCTCCAATAGGGGAAGATAGAGGTCCCCCATTAATATAGTTTGACTATTTCCTCTTGCAATTCATTTAATTTTTTCTTTAAGAATTTGGATGTTATGCCATTTGATACAATATGTTTAGTATTGGTATTTTACTCCATTGTCTATATTTCCTTTTAGGAAGATGTAGTTTCTATGCTTATTCCTTTTAATTAGTTCTATTTTTGCTTTTTTCTTTGTCTGAGATCATGATTCCTAGCCCTGCCCTTTTTACTTTAGCTGAAACATAATAGATCCTGCTCTAGTCCCTTCTTTTAACCCTGTGTCTGTCTCTCTGTTTCCAGTGTCTTTCTGTAAACAACATATTATTGGAGTCTAGTTTCTAATACATTTCTGCTTCCATTTTATGGGTGAGTTCAACCTATTCACATTCACAGTTACAATTACTAACTGTACACTTTCCTCCATCCTATTCTCTTCTGTTCGTCCTTCTCTTTCTCTTTTTATCTTGTTCTTTCTGTCAAGTCTGTTTTGCTTCTGACCTCTGCCTCCTTTTATCTACCCTCCTTTTTATCACTCCTCCTTTATCTTATCCCCATTCTCCTTCCACTTCCCTGTTGAGTGGGGTAGATTTCTATTACCAATTGAGTATGTGTGTATATATATACTGTACATATACATATAAACATAAATATACACACATATATATATATATTCATATACATATACACATATTTACCAAACATTTAACCCTCAGGGTTCTCACTCTCTCTTGACCAAAAGTAATCTTGAGCACCGGCCCTGAAGTCAGGAGGACCTGAGTTCAAATCTGGCCTCAGACCAAACACTTGATACTTACTAGCTGTGTTACCCTGGGCAAGTCACTTAACCCCAATTACCTAAAACAAACAAATGAACAAACAAAACGAAAACAAAAGTACTCTTCTCTGTCCTTGAACTTTGACCCCAAA